CGTTGTTCTTTTCCATAATGATCATCATATCTGGATCTAGACCATGATAATCCTGGATTCCAGCTAGATATTTACCATTATGGTGTTTAGTATTAATATATCTATTTTCCCAGTCAATAGTAACAGGACCATGATTATGTTGCCATAGGTAGTAAGTAGAAGGTGATGCTGACGTGGTTTTTAAATTAGTATCATGAACAGTTGATACCTCACTGTTATCATCGAATATCAAACATCGTCTAGCAAGTCTAATATTACCAGCTTTATCTACTGCAGCAAGTATAACAGAATATACACCTGGTACTGTTAAATTAAATTGTTGGCTCTTCTGTTAATAAAAAGAAAAAATATGGATTTAATGATCTAATAAATTTTCTATTGGTAATATTCATAGAATATAGACATAATCCTTGTAAGAAATTTTGTATCACAGCACACTAAGAAACAACTGTTATTTCTTATTAAGGACATAGGTAAAGAGCCAATATATATAGACGTAATACTTCCAAATATGATAGCGAACCGCGGTGGCTCAATGCCGCTGTCCTTGCATAATTTCCCTCATTGTAGCCTGCATGACGTTGCCCAGATTCATTAGCCCATATGGTACAGAAAAGTAGGATGTACAAATCCATTCATTTAATTTCATTTCCAAATATGATAGATACTAGAAAGAATAGTACGTCGCTGCTGTCATATTAAGGATAAGGTTATGGAGGATAAAATTATTCATCAATACCTACCAATGTAGTTTTCGTGTCGAATACTCGTTTGTCTATCATTAGTTCATTTCCTACCGACTTCATGCTGAATATTTCTAATTCATATATAGCTATACCAGAATCATCGTCAATCCAACCGTCCCAATAAACCGTATTATCTACCTATAAAAAATAAATATCGAACAAATATTTTCTGAATTTCTATATGGATGCTGATCAGATGTGTGTAGGCTACGTTTAAACTGTAGCCAACCTACACGATTTGAGATATTCACTTCATTAATGTAGATACAACAAAATATCTAATCAAGGAAATGGTTGTCTATATATTTGATTACAATCTGACCAATTTCATCATTATCACTTTTTAGACAAAAATTTCAACCTCGCTATTTCTGTTTGAACTCGGTTGTA